AGGGGGCCTATGGCGAAATATTGAGTACCATCGCCCCCTAATTATTATTATACCGGCTGAATTTCTCTTGAACCAATGGCGCTCATCCTGATACATTGTTTCAAAGGATTTTTGCTGAAAACATGGTGCAATCGGATTTTAAATTGGTCTAAAAATGACAAAGTTATGATAAAAAAAGTTTGAAAAAAAGCAATTCATTTGTTTCGTTATTAATTCCAATAATTTGCTTCTTCACTAAAGTAAACATTAATAGCCTTTATTGTTTACATTCTGCCGTTGTTTGTCAAACTCGCATTATGAGAGTAAATCATAATTCCTGGAAGTAAATAAATTTTACAATAGTACCTATTCGTTACATCCAGTATTCCATTCAAAATGAATCAAAGAGCACACTTTTCCAATCAACAGCCAGTTGCTATGTACCACTGTTTTAATGATAGTGGTGGTTTAATGATGGTGGTTTGAAGTTTTTTGCTAAAATCACTTCCTCTAAGTCACATCCACTAAATCGTCTATTTCCAGGGACTAGTCTGATATTTGACAGCTCATCCCGTGATTCTATACAAAAAACCTTTCCGTTCCGTATATACACATTATTGCACAAATTACAAATATCCATACCTCCAGTACAAAAAGAATCAGTGGCTCCCATCCCTCCTTGGACATTTCCCAAACCGAAAATTTTGTATTCACTTGGAAAATATCGCAAAGCCCTTACACCTTTTCATACGACATGAACAGGAGGTTTGAATTTAACCATAAATTCCGAATACATCTGGGCACCAAAAAGGAATGGGAAAGAGAGGGAAATAACTCCCTCAAAAATGGCACCATCCTTTGGTACACAGATGGATCTAAAACACAGGAAGGTACGGGGGCAGGAGTGTTCGGACCCGGAACCAAATACTCAGAACCCATGGGAAAGCACACCAGTATCTTCCAAGCTGAAATTCATGCAATTGAAAGATGTATCCAATTCAATCTAAATAAAGGATACAAAAACAAGAATATAGCTATCATGTCAGATAGCCAAGCAGCCATCAAAGCACTAAGCTCAAATACCATTAGCTCAAGGATGGTGCTGAACTGCAAAACCAAATTAAATATATTAGGCTCGCAGAATAAAGTCAGCCTCTGCTGGGTCCCAGGACACATGGGAGTAGAAGGCAATGAGAAAGCGGACACCCTGGCAAGAAAAGGGGCTGCCACACCGCTAATAGGACCTGAACCCTTCTGTGGAATAGGAACACACACTATCAACGAATACCTCAGACAGAAGGATAAAAAGAAAATGAGCGAACTTTGGAATTCACTTATTGGACATAGACAATCCAAGAATCTTCTAACCAACTTTGGCAAGAAAGAAATCACAGAATGTGTCAAAGGAAGCAGGAACAGACTGCGAATCCTAACAGGATTCCTGACAGGACACTGTAGATTAAATGGACATCTAAAGAAAATTGGAATAATCCAAGATGGCACATGCAGATTCTGCAAAGAAGCAGAAGAGACACCAACACACTTACTAACAAACTGCGGAGCTACACTAGCCCGCAGGAGGAAGTGTTTTGGGATGTACAATGTGACCATAGAAGAACTACAACCACTGAAACCGGGCCTATTAATCAAGTTTCTTGATGAAATAGGACTCACCGATGTGCTTTAGGCAGAGCACAGGGGATACAATAGCTCTTAAAGGGCGCAGTATACCATACCCTGAATTATTATATCTATCTATCTATCTACACCTTTTCATGTATACCAGCAGGAGTTTTTGAAAATAAAAAACGCACTCCCACAAGCGGCATTTATCTATACGGACGGATCAAGAAGCTCCAGGGGCATGGGAGCTGCGTCTATATGTGGCCCTAACAAATTTCTTTTCTCTCTACATCATTTCTGTAGCAACTATAGCGCTGAGCTACTAGCAATACGGAAATTTTACAAGTTCCGATAACAATAGTAGCTACGTGATTTGCTCTGATTCAGAATCGGCCTTACATGCCTTGGAACACCCCTATTCAGATGATCCTGGTGTGCAGGAGGTGCTGGCGTCACTGGGGAGCCTCCAACTGCAGGACGTCTAGGTTCCTGGACATGTAAACATTAAAGGAAACCATTTGGCAGAAGAAGCTGCAAAAGAAGCAGCCATTACAGGCCTTCAAATCAGGAACGTTCCAAAGGGTGATATGACTGTAGTTTACAAGTCAAAAGTTAAGGGTCAATGNAAAAAAAAAAAAAAAAAAAAAAAAATGATAGTGGTGGTATTGCGCATCATGCAGACGAGTCGTACTCCCAGAAATTTCCTTATCGCCCCAGAGCAAACCATAAAATTTATTCCTGTCGCTCAAAATATGAGGAGATACAGATGAGTAACAGTTCCATCACCAACAAACGTAATTTCGACGAGGAGCTGAGTATTTTACTACATTTTAGCGAAAATCCGAGTTCTCTCGAAATGTAGGAAGGGTTCAACATATTTACATATACTGAGTTGAAATGTTGAATTTTAAAGATCATATTATTTTACTGAACAACGAAAATAATGTAATCAGTTCGAACATGGAGGTTGCTATTGTTAATAAATTAGTCTTTTTATGTAAGGTTTTTGTTGAAATGAAAAAGTTAGTGTCACGAGCGGGATTCGAACCCACGACCGTCGGCTAAATACGCCTCTGCTCTTACCACTTGAGCTATCCTGACTTCGACCCACTCGGACACCAACTCGCCATCTGAACCTGCAACCTTTCGAATTTTCCCTCTTTTTTGCCATTTTGTACGCCGAAAATTATGGTGCAATTGGATTTTAAATACTCAAAACATGACAAAGTTATAAAAGAAACCGGTGGTGTAATTTTGATGGGGAGCTGAATATTTTACTGTATGCTAGCGAAAATCCGAATTCCTCTTTGAATTTGCTTCCGAAAATCCGATATTGAAGGGTTTTAGGTTTTTCAAAAAATGAAATTAGAGAATAATCTGGACTTACAATTTTAAGCCGTAAACGCTCTCATCTTGTATGGACTAGGGCACTATGATTATGACAGGCGTCTAACGTTCCTTGCTGATGAATTTAAATTCACCTCCAATGGTATACTAAACCGTTAGAATTTTTCAACGTGGGCAGAGGAAAATCCGAGAATTTTGTGAACTGAGAGAACTCTTGTCATCATCATGTGGTTCACAGTATCAACTGTTGGTGTGGGCTTCTCGGAAATAAATTAATTGGGCCTTATTTATACGAAAAGAATTTAAATGTTGCTCAGTTCCTCGATTTTTTGAGGGAAGTTTTACCAACACTATTAGATTATGTTCCCCTGCAACAAGACATAGATTGATTCACCAGCTTAATGAGTACATAATTCTTGGCAGGTGAGACGTTATTTGAATCGTCACTTCCAGGATAGGTGGATAGGAAAGACCTCATGGCCCGATCTGTTCACCTCCTCGGTCACCCGATTTAACTCCACTTGACTATTTTCTCTTCTATTTAAAAAACAGTTTCTACACCAATCATAACCCAGGAACCTCAGTTGAAGAACTTGTCACTCCATCTCCCCTGACTCTATCGCTCTGAGCACCGCGGAAGAGTGGATAAAGAGAGCAAATCTTTGCATCTTTATACAAGGCGGGAAGTTCGAACATGAAATGTGATTAATAAAAAGCAAACTAAATGCCCGTTTTTATCAAACTTTTTGCCATAACTTTGTAATTTTTTACCGATTTAAAATCCGATTGCACCTTTTTTCAGCGTAAAAAATCCTTTAAATTGTGTCAGGATATGTAGGTTCGGACCGTGGAGCCTAAACTTCAGTGGCGGTGGACGAAACAGATCGGAACCGGACAGACAAAAAAAAAAAACAAACGGACTAAATGACTGTACATATTGTGAAGTATTGAACTTAAATAGATCAGGGAAATATTGATTGTTGTTTCAATTAATTAAGGTTTTTTAGTTGAGATGAAAAAGTCAGTGTCACGAGCGGGATTCGAACCCACGACCTGCGGCTAGATACGCCGCTGCTCTACCACTTGAGCTACCATGACTTCGATCCACTCGGACACTAACTTCCCATCTCAACCCCACCCTTTGAATTTTCCCTCCTTTTTGCCATTTTTCAATGAAATTTGAGACTTTTGAGATTGGAAGTTAGTGTCCGAGTGGAAAGAAGTCACGATAGCTCAAGTGGTAGAGCAGTGGCGTATCTAGCCGAAGGTCGTGGGTTCGAATCCCGCTCGTGACACTGACTTTTTTATCTCAACTAAAAAACTTTAATTAATCGAAAGATATTTGGTCATATTCATATCGAAAATTAGTGAATTGTTTGTTGTTTTATTTACCCTCAATTTTGAAAGTTTGTGAGTAGAATCATCGTTTTCATCAAATAAATTGATCACTCAACCTTAACTATTTCTATAAAGTTTATTACTAGGTACTAGAAAACCTAAATTTAAAACAGATTACAACTAATAAATTTTTTATTTATTTGTACTATATGACAACAAAAACAGTCTTCAGTAAGCGTAAAATAATTTTTTAACCTCAGACGTTACCGTTTTCTTGGATAATTTGCTATTCCATTTTTAGAACACTAAATTTAATCAGTCAATGTAAAAAAAACTTAATCTTGGAGAAACCGTAAGTGAAAAATTTTTGAATCACAAAGTTTTCGATTGTGTAATATTTGTATTATGTAATAAACAGTGCCTCGTACCTTTCGCGATATAATTTAAGAACGATGATAGGAAAGTCTATTATTTATATAAAATATTGACAAAAAGCAAAGCTAACACGAAATTAGTACAAATCTTATAGAGTGTTTTGAGAAATAAGAACGTAATTACTTTTGAAACAGACGTTCTTGTTATGATTTAATTACACAAATGCATTGTGTTGAAACGCTACGTTTTGCTTGGCTGCTTAAGGGAAGGAATCTGTGGCAACACATAGGAAATGGAGTTAGTAAGGCGTTATAGTGGGGTGAGAGTGGGTATAAAAGTTGTGTTATGACAGATTATTACAACAAACATGAAGTTGAGTGTTGTGATAGTGTCTTGTGCTCTTGTGCTGGCAACAGCCAAAGAGGAAGTTAAAAAACAAGAAAAAAGGGGTCTTTCTGAGTTCGCAAATTACGAAGGATTTCACCACGAGCCTGAAAAACATCACGAGCACGAGGAGCATCATGAACATCACGTCAAGACCATCACCGTCGTCAAGAAAGTTCCAGAACCTTATCCAGTAGAAGTTGTCAAGAAGGTTCCATACGAGGTTAAAGTTCCAGTTGATAAGCCCTACCCTGTCTACGTGCCGAAACCATACCCGGTATACGTTGAGAAGAAAGTTCCCTATGAAGTCAAAGTACCCGTACCTCAACCCTACACCGTAGAGAAGAAAGTACATTACGAAGTCAAAGTACCCGTAGACAAACCCTACCCTGTACATGTTGAAAAGCCTTACCCTGTATACGTCGAGAAGAAAGTCCCCTACACTGTAGAAAAGAAAGTACCGTACGAAGTTAAAGTCCCCGTCGAAAAGCCATACCCTGTACACGTTACCGTCGAAAAGAAGGTGCCCTACCCTGTGGAGAAAATCGTACATTATGAAGTCAAAGTGCCAGTAGAGAAACCAGTTCCAGTCCACGTCGAAAAACCTGTACCCGTACATGTTGAGAAGCCTGTACCTTACAAAGTTGAAAAAATCGTCCATTACCCGGTTCATGTCCCTGTAAAGGTCCCTATTGAAGTACCATACCACGTAGAAGTTAAAAAGGACTTTTACCATCCAAAGAAACACGAATCCCACGGCGAAAGCGAATTTGGAGAATACCATTTTGGAAGTGGAAGCAGCCGAGTGGAAACCAAGCTGGGATCATCTGGATACATGTCTATTGTCCGACATTAAAATTGTGATTAAAATTAGATCTATTACTTTCTGGTCATAATCTAATAATTTATGCAAAATGTTAAAAATTGTGTATTAAAAATAAATGACGATATTAATTTGTAATATATACATTTTTTTCTATTGACATACCCACCCCAACAAATATTTGGAAACAGTTTAGTAATAAATACTATTAAATATCTTCACAATGGATTAAATCTACATTGATATTACTACATAAATGCATTGGAAAATGGAGAAGTTAAGATTTCCTGAAAGTTTTCTTTGTATCTTTAACACGAACTGGCGACTCACCGCATATAAATTTTTAGCTGAGGAATTTTTTACGCTATATAATTCAGTGTCAGTTATTGATTGAGTCCTAAATTTTTTTAGAAACTTTGTTGTTTGATTTTTCTACGTGATTAATTTGAAATTTAAGTTTATTTAAAATAAAACTTTAGGCACCTCGATAGTCATTATAATCATTATTCAAAAGGGGAGTTATTTTTTTATACTTTTGGTTTTTTGCTGTATTATTCAATTGCTTCAAAAAGTCATGAAATTTTCAATATCTTCAGACTAGATATTTTCTAATATTCAACGATAAATGTTGTTCAATTTACTATTGACGCATAATGTGAACTATGTAATAATCAATCAAAATGTCTATTTTTGTCTAATAATCAAGATAAAAAGAGGTTTATATGTAATGATCATAATGAATGATTATTGTGTTCATTCTGCTACACGGATTTACGGATTTGTCTGAAGCATTCGACACAGCGGATCGAACTCAGTGAAAAAACTGGAAAAGCTAGAAGGTAAACCCCCTTCTGGGGTGGATCGATTCTTTTCTGTCGGAGAGCGCTTTTATAGATATAGATCTCTTATAAGATTCGGGGGAGGTTTATCGGCCCTGTCTATATTGACTGGTGTTCCCCAGGGATCTCATTCAGGGCAGTATTATTTCTGATATTTTTCATTGATGTTGGATCAGTCATTGACAACTCCAAATTTTCACTCTTAGGTGACGACCTAAAACTCTTTCGCCCAGCTTCCTCATTCAAGCAATTTTTTTACTGCAGGAGGATCTGGACGTTTTCTGGTCTTGATGCGACAGTAATAATCTTAAATTAAGCTAAAATAAGTTTAAGATCATAGGATTTTCCATGAAAAAAGACAGGAATGAACTTGACTTACTTGTTTACAAATTCAATAGTCATCGGTCGGTGGCCGCAACGGTTTAGGCGTTGACACGGCACTCATCACTGTAAGGTAAAGGTCCCGGGTTCGAATCCAGCGGCCCTGCATTCGAACCTGACATATTTACAAATGGGCTTTTTTTCTAAACCAGCACTCTGAGGGTTGATATGACTGCTGTTGCGAACCCTCGGGGGGGGGGGAGTCATCTTATTGAGGAAGTCGGTTCCATCTCGGACCTTCCAGCTATGTTCATTTAATAAAAACTGCGGTTTTCGTGACCATCTTGAAGCTGTTTAAAAAAAATCATTTAAAAATTTGGGCTTCATTAGAATCCTTCATTTTTAAAAATCCATTCGCCATGAAAAACCTCTACCAATTACTTGCTCGTTGCCATTTGGAGTATGCTAGTATGAGAGGGTACAAAGGAGGGCATCTAAATATTTGCTGTTCAAAATGAATATACAAGAAAGTAGTGAGTTCCCTTATACTGTACGGATTTGGTTAGACTGTACACTTTGGAAGGCATAAGAATTTTGGCTTTTACCTTGGTCTTAATTAATTGATGGTGTGTACCATGTGTACCATTTTAAGTGAAAATATCCCCGAGGGATATCTAAAGTTGAGCTCAGCTTCTACCGACCACTGGAAAAAACCCCACATTATTTACATTATCTCTCTTGGACTGGGAACTGGGAATTAACTTGTAGACCAATAATTGTCGTTTTAGAAAATTTTTAAATATATAGTAGTGCGTTTCGATTTTCAACCAAACATTGATTTTTCAGTTTTTTAATACAAAAATTGCGTATTTTCGTCCTTTTTCTCTGAAACAGTGGTGCAATTGATTGATTCAACATTTAACAGTTCCGATATTAAAGTTTACTGTACCATTTTGTAGACGAAAAGATCTAAATTTTTGTTTCACATTCAACAAGAGAACAAGATAAGAGCAAACTTAATGAGGTGGGTTGGAAAAACAAAAAAAGTGATTAGGCGAAAGGTACAAGACTCAAGAGTGTTGCCTGACAGTCTATGGGCCGATCTTACTGAAAGCACTTTGTCAAAGTTTTATATGTACTTCCTCTTCCAAAGTTTGTGTTGACTGATAATAAATGAATTAATAACAAAATATCACAGATTGAGACATTGAAAATCAAATTATTTCCCACTTAGGTAACATCTCTGTTGTTGTTGTTTCTTTATTGTTGCTTGGGTAAAAGGATAAATAAATTAACATATTAATAAAATAATATTATATTTTAATAATACTGATTTTATACATTTGTTTCAAATTGAGACTATTCATGTTTGAAATGGTGGATTACACTTTTATAACCGCTGGTGTGTCCAGAATGCATAAATTTGGTTTCAACGCTGCTGGTACCGCTGGCGTGTTGTTCTTTCTTTTCTTCTGGTATGTGCGAATCAAACAATTTCGATTCTTCGTGCGATTCGTACTTAGGTAAGTGGACCTCTTTTTTCTCTTCTGCATGGTATGGTACTTCAACGGGTACTTTTACTGGAACATGAACCGTGTAATGGACGATTTTTTCAACTTTGTAAGGTACAGGCTTCTCAACATGTACGGGTACAGGTTTTTCGACGTGGACTGGAACTGGTTTCTCTACTGGCACTTTGACTTCATAATGTACGATTTTCTCCACAGGGTAGGGCACCTTCTTTTCGACGGTAACGTGTACAGGGTATGGCTTTTCGACGGGGACTTTAACTTCGTACGGTACTTTCTTTTCTACAGTGTAGGGGACTTTCTTTTCGACGTATACAGGGTAAGGCTTTTCAACATGTACAGGGTAGGGTTTGTCTACGGGTACTTTGACTTCGTAATGTACTTTCTTCTCTACGGTGTAGGGTTGAGGTACAGGTACTTTGACTTCATAGGGAACTTTCTTCTCAACGTATACCGGGTATGGTTTCGGCACGTAGACAGGGTAGGGCTTATCAACTGGGACTTTTACTTCATACGGTACCTTCTTGACAACTTCTACCGGATAAGGCTCTGGAACTTTCTTGACGACGGTGATAGTCTTGACATGGTGCTCGTGGTGTTCATCATGCTCGTACTGATGATGTTTTTCTTTGTGTCCTCCTTCTTCGAGTCCCTGAAAACCGGATTCTTCTAGTTTTTTCTCAGCGCAGTTTGCCAAAGCAAGAGCACAACACAGAAACACTACACTGAACATCATGATGAGGAATGAAATAAAAACAAAGATTCGCTTTATATATTAAAGATCCCCACTTTCTTTTTCTCACTTCCTTTTGTTTTTTCTGTTAGCCGTGCACAATTATTATTCAACAATGCAAGATTCTTATCGATGATCACACCTACTTCACGTAACTGTACTAATTCTGATTAAATGTAATTCCGTCTTCTTTTCAGTTAGAACCGACAAAAATTACGTTTGTTATTCTAATCTTTTGACATTAATAGCAATTAATTTATTGTTATTTATGTAGACATTAACTCATTAAATTAAATGTTATAAACTGGCAATCATACACAAATAAATTTACATTTATACGATTCTGATTCATCAAAATATAAATTCGTTCTATAACATTTCTAAAATTCAATCGACTTAATAAAATAATTTGGATATTTTAGGAACACTGAGATTATGTATTTTTATTTTATGTACTTATTTAAAATGGTATGTGCAACTAATAATTCATTTTTTTTAAATTAAAAAGTTTCTGTACAATTTTTTTTTTCAAAGGCCATTTGTGTCATCAATAGAAGGCTTTTACCGCACCGTAAAATGTACATGCATTTTGTTTTGTATAATTTGTTTGTTACTAGATTATTAACTATTATAATTAGAGTTATTACCAATAAAATTTATATCAAAAAATAGATAATATTTAATAAATTAGTGAAATATATTTGTTAGCCTATGTTGGGTTTGTTTCGGGACTAGCTAGTACACGGCCAATGAAATTGATACTTTCAGACACAAACAATGAAAATAAACGGACCAGGATGGTCAGGATTAACCAAATGTGCCCATTTCAATTAAATTGCAGCTAAACCTAGTTAAAGATTAATTTTCATTTACACTGAATGATACTGCTAGAAAAATGACCTGAATAACAATAAAAACCAATGGACTAACGTCATTGCATGAAAATAGTATGCCTCATATACATATATACAACGTATATAAATACTGTCGGAAAACTACTAGACAAAACATTGACCAGACCAACCTACTCGACAAAAATAGCATACGTAACTTGTAAATGATAGTAGATCTTACAGACAAGACGAAAAATAAAAGGCAGATGCAAAGAAATCGTTTGGTGACAAAAACGGAAAACCACCTACGGCACTCAACTCACAAAAACCTTCACGAACCTTCAACAATACAGAAATGCAAGAACGTCCTAACGACGTACAAAAAGATCGAAAATTGAACGTATTAAAAATCTGGGAAATAAACTAATACATTTAACACTTAACACACAAATAAACCAAAGTTCAAGTATATCATTTACACCATTCGAAGCACTGTAGTAAGTAACACGAAAAAGGACGGACGGTCAAAGAGAACGAGCTCGGACACACCGAGGATAGTCAGACCAAAATTTACAGGTTCAACATTCCGCAGACATGAGGAAAAACTCACGCCACCTCACATTTTTTGATACTTAGTAAATGTATCAAAGAATAAATTTTTACCAAATTTGATCAATAAATTAGTAGATTTTAAGGCAATCGTTATTCGTAGAGGTTCTCCAATTGAATGCGTGATGGGACGGAATCCTCCCCAAAGAATTTTTACAAATTATAAACCTCAAAGATGGAAATATTTTGGCGTAGTTTCATCCAATTAGATTGCATAATTAACGAGAAATTAAAGACATTAAAAAATCGTAAATAGTAAAGCCGTTTTCCGTGGGATGGCTCATCCCGCTAACGATCTTGACAAAATTTTGACAATATTAATAAAGGAACAAATTTTAAATTGCCCAACTTTGATGAAATTAACTTTAATAATTAGTAGGTTTTTAACTTACTGTTTAATTATTATTTAAGGACCACATTTTTTGTTTGTTTTATTATTATAACAGGGCTAGAGAGCTATAAGCAATTTTGTTGTCTTTATGAATTTTATGTTATAAAAGTGCAGAAGATTAATTACACTCTGACACAACAGTATTCACTTTCCTCACCAGGGAGGAAATAGCTAAGCCATTGGCGCGTTACGATTCTTAGAGAATTGTTGGGATGGTTTCGTGATGAAAGGTGTTGCACTGGGGGTTGGGATTAGAGGTTTTATGGAGGCGTTTCGTCTTCTTCCGCTTTCCAGTTCAAATGGGATCTGAAGGTCTTTGTGGACTGTGGATACGAAGTAGGGAGCTGGAGGTATGATTCGAAGGATTTTGAACTGGAGTGACTGTGTCTTTTGGAGGTTGGTACGTTTGGTTGAACCCCACAGTTCAATTCTGTACTTCCAGATTGTTTTTGGTAATGGGGTGTTTATTTTGTAGTGAATGTTTCGGTCTATTGCCTTTTGAGCTGTTACTCAGTTTTTCCTATGAGTCGAGTGTGGGGATTTCAAGTCAGACTTTTGTATTTTTTGTGTCTTTTTTCCGAGATTAAGGGATTTCGATTAAATTGACTAACATTTGCCAAATTTGATCAATTAATTGTTTAGCTAGATTTTAATAATAATATTATTTGAGAGGCTGTTTTACGTAACATTCATTTGGCGTGTCTACAATTTATATAAAATTTTCTACAAAATCAAATATTGAATTATTTTTGCTTACTTTCATCAAATCAAGTTGAATGACTAACTAAATATCAAGGAAAAATTTATTATCTAGCTATACACGTTTAATTTTCTGATGTGAATTATTTCGTTGCTATTTTTTATTTTATTATTATTTTTTTTACGAGGGTTCGCAATGTTTATATGACCTCAGGGTGCCGGTGTTTTTGAAAAAAAAAAAGCTCATTTGTAAGTTTGTCGGGTTCGAATGCAGGGCTGCTGGATTCGAACCTGGTTCCTTCACCTTACAGTGATGAGCGCCGTGTCAACCCTAAACCGTTGCAGCCACCGACGCCCCCTTCGTCGCTATTCGAGTCGAAATTTTAATATTTGATTAAACAACAAATTTTCAATTATGTGACCAGCTTTGATGGAATTCACTTGTGTAATTAGCAAAATTTTATGATTATCGTTTATAGTCGATCTCACATATCAATAGACTTTTTTAAATTACGATTCCTTCCTAAACAATAACTGACGAAATCTGACAATAAAGTCTTTGTAGAAATTGAAATTTGATTAATTAATTACATAAACAATGATTATTATTACTATTAGATTACTATTAACAATCAAATCAATTAGCAAGATCAATCAAGTTGATCAGATAATTTGATATCCTTAAGCCGACTACACACGGAGCTAATCAAAATAAACGTAACTGGTTTCAGACAGGAATCACTAACCAGTTAAAAACTCATTGGTAACACGGATCAACACCCGCTCGTATTTAAAAAATGATCGAAATAGCCACTCAATAAAGAAATAACTAGTTTCTTCATTGAAATTGTGTAAAGAACACCATTCTTTTTCGTTTACAGAAATGATTCCAGCGAGTAAGCCATATTACTGGTGTATCATCGCTCCGGAAGAGAAATTATACGAAGGAACTTTTGCGTTCGTGCGTTTTTCCACTTCATGCCAGCCTTTCAGTGCGTCTTTCTTCGAGCATCCGGGAAGCGTAAAGTTGTGTAGAAAAGGTTGTTTTTTAACCTCTTTCACAAATATTATGCTCACCTGTAGATCGTCTAACTTGAAAATTACCTGACATAGAACAACTTCAGTCACTGCTGTCTCGGCAGCTGAGTTGCTTGTACTGATTAGCTAATTATCAACTTCTTCTGGGATGCCCTATTCAGTTACATTGGAATTGACTCATTGAAGACTGGTTCGTAATTCTAATCAGTTTCTTTCGAGTAACCCTGTGTGTAGACGCCCTAAGGATTTCAAATTATTTAATCTAATTCGATTAATTTTGCTTGTGATTTAAATAATAAGAGAAAAATCTTTTATTATGATAACTTCAATTACACGATTTCAATTACATTTCAATTTCTACAAAGAAAACCTTTTTTTATCGGTTTAGTGCAAAAATGTCTTTTATTGTAAATAGGAAAAACCAAAGGCTTCAATTTATTGCAGACTAACTGTTCCAGAACAAATCGTGAAATGGAAGCGGTAATTTTATTTTTGCCAATTAGGTTTTCTGGTTCTCTTCGCAAAATTTTTTAATTGTCCAAAAGCGTAGAACTTTTCCTCGTTAAATCCATAATTGGTAATTGGCGATACATACCAACTATTGAATATTAATTGAACGTGGAAACGTATTGAACTTTTCCGACAGGAGGTCTTCACAACGGCGAAAATATTTTCAAGGAGTGAATTATAAAACAGCTTTATCAAAAGACCCTCGGTAATTTGGAAGACGAGTTTTAACTGTTATGAATATTTTTCCGAAGAGTATTGATTGTTTTTGTTTCCGACACCAAATGTCACATCAACCCTCGGGGTGTTTTTGAAAAAAAAAAAGCCCATTTGTAAGTATGTCGGGTTCTAACTCAGGGCCGCTGGATTCGAGCCCTGGACCTTGCAGTGATGGGCATCGTGTCAACGTCTTAACCATTGCAGTCACCAGCGCCCCCAGAAGAGTAATGATAAAATGGGTTTAAACTAAACAAGTCAATCATTCTGATATATATTAAAGTTAGAATTAAATAAGCTTTTCCCTTTCATTATAATTCTCTAAAGTTGGACTTTTATTTTAGGTACAGTCAGGAAAAATTCAACAAAGTCATCAATCAGACATTGATACTATTAATTAATCCTGAGTTCTTGACAGTCTGATGTAAAAATCTACCTAGCCATACTTTTTTAGTATTAAATATTAAATTAAAGACGAATTATTTCAGAAAAGTTAATTATATCACTGTATATCATTACTTAATTGTACGCTATAGATTATTACCTGACGTTTTGGTCCATTTCATTACCCTCAATTTTGTAAATACTTGTATTAAATTTTTATTAAAGACATGTAAAATAATGTTTTATTAAGCATGTTTTAAAACGAGACAATCTTCATCTGCCGAAAGTGTTATACATAACTATTTAATTGTCCTCTATGGATAAATAACTCGGCTCAATAATTTATTTCAATACATGACAAAAAATCTATAAATGAAAGGTTTTTCAAGAAAAAACAGCCCATTATTTTCCTGCCTAAATTTCCCTAAGTTGCTCCTTCTTCTGGTACATAAAACCGAAGAATGGGCAAGATTAATTAAATTTATGAGACTGGTACTACAATATAATGGTAGAAGTGTGATTTTACGGTTTTATAAACTTCTACTAAATTGTTCCGTGTTTTCTGCGGGGAGATGAACTTGAAATTTCGTTACCGATCGTTTTTTCGTCTGTCCATTTTGGCTAGGTTTTTTTGCGTTTCGGCATTTCGCCATCTTCAGTGTGTCTGTATGATTTGGGTTAAGGCGAGTCTCGGTCTGTGATCGTCAGCCCGTTTTCTTTTTACTTGGTATAGTTATTTTTAATAGTGTAAACAATGTATGCGAACTGAAATGTATGTGAACTGCTTTTAATTTGTGTTTTTTTAGTGTTGAATGTGTTATGTTTGTATATTTACCAGTTTTTCATAAAATCAATATTATTAATGATAATATTGTTGTTGTTAATCTATTCTATAGGTTGTTATTACGATTTATTTTTTCAAGTTCATTTTTCGTTTTTATTGTTCGTTTTTCGTATTTGTTGTCTGTGTTGTGTGTTCATGATGGTTTTCTGTGAGGTGAGTCAAGTAGATTGATTTTTCTGTAATTGTCCCTAAACGATCTTCTTCCGATATTCTTTACATCTTTCAGTTACTGTTTTTCTATCTGTCTGATTTATTTGTCTCAGGATTCGCATGCTATGGCGAATTTTTGTCACCAGCGACATTTTTGCCATCTACTGTTTTAATTCTAATTTGTTGAACAGATTTGCTAGTCTGTACGCTTTTTGGTGTGTGTGTTTTGAATCTAATGTCATTGATTGTTACAAACATCCAACTATTTTTCTTTTAACAAGAAGAGTTTGGGGGTGGCCGCAAAGTTTTAGGCGTTGACATGCCGCCTGGGTGTATGGGTCCCGACAAACTTACAATTGGACTTTTTTAAAAAAAAACCGGCACCCCGAGGGCTGATATGAACTCTACTGTTGTGAACGTTCGTTAGAAAAAAATAGTAGAAAAGTGTAAATTAATTAATTTTAACTCATTTGCTCTATTATTTAACAGTAAGTTGGATATGTTTGCAAATGTTCAAGAGAAGAAAATGGATGGATAAACATAGATGTATTGGGTGGGAGTGAGACAAATATATCTATAACGTTTTTCAATTAATTAAACTTTATATAAGGCATTGGTTGAGATAAAAAGACAGTGTCACTAGCGGGATTCGAACTCACGACCCTCGGCTCAATACGCCGCTGCGAAGGTAGGTGGTACCGGTTGAAGTGGTAGAGCAGAGGCCTATTTAGCCGACGGTCGTGGGTTCGAATCCCGCCCGTGACACTGACTTTTTTATCTCAACCAATACCTTATATAAAGATTAGTTAATTGAAAAACGTTATTCGGTCAATCGGACCACGAACTCTAATATTTTATATCTCTAACATTTAAACAAAAGAACCATCAGTCTCTCATAATGAGAATTTTCTGACCGAACCACGTATATTTCAAGGTTTTTTCTTTCTCTGTTTTCTTCTTTTTACGAGATCGTTATAAAAGTTATTGAGCATCAAAACTGATTTGAAAAATTAATATAAAATTGAGTTTCATTTGTTATTTGTAGCCGTTTTTGACGAGAATTTTAATTAGTCACTGCCAGTATTTTCTGGTTTCATGCACTTCTCGTCCTTCCCATATTGCAATTTCTCATCCTTCACTTCTTTCAAGGTGTCATGTTCCGATGACCGGAATTTTCCGGTCATGACGTCAAGGATGTAAGCAGGTAGTGGTTTAAGCTGATTCATTCATCTGTGCTGATTTTGGCCAGGTAAAAAAAAATCGTATTATGAGTTATGAGCGAAAGTGTTATCATGCCAGGCGAAAGTTTCCTTATTTCTCCATAATTTTCAAACATTTATTTAAAAAACAAAATAAAAACAAATGCTTTATTTACAAGAAAATACAATTTTCGTAATGTCTGGGTCATAGGTAGACAAGGTATTGATTGATACGGTTTTAAGTATTTTAGAACATACTTGTGTTAGCGTAGTTGATGGGTGGTTCGCAAAGCATCGCCTTTTTTAAAATCGATCTTTGTCTGGTAGAGCCCATTCTTATATTTACTTTGTACAACTTAATAATTTTTCTCTTAAATTAATCATTTTTTGAAGTAACTTTTTACTTATCACGACACGCTGTTTGAGGTGAACTTATGATAGACCATGACTTGATTTTGGCCGGATTATCCGGACTACAAGTTTTCTAAGATAACAAGTCTTAAGTGCTAATAAGGATGACAGGCTTAAACTGGGATTTGAAACCCAAATTGGCAAGCTGGGTCATAGAAATTCTGTGTTATACATGCTCGAATAATCAACCAAATTGATATTTCTTCCATATTTTCCAAATCTGCCTCATCCGATCGCAAATCTTGCTTTTTGATTGTTTTAGAAAATCTCGTTGCCATTTCTCATATAAAATAATATACAAACATAATTGGATTCATTTGGAAAAAATAGATTAGTTAATTACTACATTTTTCTATCTAAAAACTGTATTCCACACAGGATGTTTCAAAAATATTGCGACACCCACTTCTCCCTAAAACAAAAAGCCACGGAAAAATAAGTTTAAATAATGAACTTCATAATTTTTTCAAGAATCGTAAAATTTCGAAATGGCAAGCAGTAATATAAGAAGCTTTATGCACTCGTATAAATGACTAGATAAAATTTTCAATTTTTGCCGATACTGCCTCAAAAGACCGAGGCTCTCGTTTTTTCTTGAGTTTTCTTAATTTTCTTCCTGAATTTCGTTGGGAGTTTTAATATAAAATAAAATTTAAATATACATGAGTACTTTAAGGGTCTTAAATTGAGTGCTGCTTAAATATTGAAATTTTTTCTACAGCCATTTGTTTTAGAGTTAAGTGGGTGTGGCAATATGTCAGAAAAACCCTGTATTATGGGTACATTGTCAAAAAGTATACCTGAAATTTAAATGATGTTTACATGTTTTTTGTTAAAATATTTGTAAAAATAATTATTTTGGCAGTTGATAATTGATGAATTGGACCAGATGGAAACTTCTTTGGATGAATGATGAATCCATCTGACGGAAACAGTTTACAGAAAACAATTCCCGTTCAATCTCACTATAGGATTATCTTTGGATGAAACCCCCTCCCTACAAGTGGTTAATTGAGGTTTATTTTGCCCTCCACGTGATCTTAGCTCAACTGTATTGTTATATAGAATCGACCTTTCAACACAAGTCTCTATCTCTCAAGAAACAAAATGGATTATTTTCGTTTAAACCAGGTCCTAGGGCGTTATCACTTTCATTGTTTAAAACGTCTAATTAAAATCTCTCTGGTGTATAAAATGTATGAGGTAATAGTTGGACTAAGTCTTTAGAATTAAGCTATAAAAAAACTCCCGTTCTCACATTTTATAATCTCCTGACAGGGCGTTTCATTTTCTACTTTCAGTTTCCGTGTAAACTGTCCATTTATTACGTAAATAGTTAAGTAACCTTGACGTCTTCACAGTAGTTGAGGGATGTCATAGGAAAATTACAAAATGAGAAATGGAAAGCATATGTAGCAGGAAGAGTTAACGAGAAATCAAGATCCCCGGCAAGAAGAAAGTGGATTCAACTTCCGTTTCCTCCAGTTCAACTAAAATACGTGCGGTTGTTAAGTGTAATGTATTTCCTTTATTTTGGAAAGTTAGTTCGCTCTGGTATATTTTATATAAATTGTTCTTCTCAAGAATATTTACTTTTTGTCTTTTTACATTTATTCAGTTTTTCTTACGTTAAAAAATGCTCAGATGCTCAATAAGTACAAAATATAAGTTAAAAAAATATATTTATAAAAAAATAGTATAAAAATATAAAACATACAACATTTTAAAGCTGACCAGAATTTATACAAATATGAAGATCATTGGAGGGATTTGAGTCAACCGTGATTGACGACGCTTGAGTATCCTGAGGCATGGCCGTGTTCGCCGTAGGTTTTCGACTCGACATGGCTGGATCCAGAACCATGGTGGGAAGAACCGCCTCCAGAGACACCTTCCGAGTGGCCATTACTTTGGTAACCGTGCCCTCCTTCGAAAACCAAAGAGCCACCATCGAGTCCGCTGTGGTAGCTTCCTAGTCCTTCGGAACTAGCTGAATTGTAGGAATGCAGTTCGCCACCTCCGTAACCGCCTTCATGTCCATCTCCGTAGCCGCCACCGTATCCAAAGCTATATCCTCCACCGTTGCCACCTCCATAGCTGCCTCCGTGTCCGCCTCCATAGCCGCCTCCGTGTCCGCCTCCATAGCCACCTCCATAGCTGCCTCCGTGACCGCCTTCATAGCCACCTCCGTTGCCACTGCCGTAACCGCCTCCATAGCCACCTCCGTTGCCACTGCCGTAACCGCCTCCGTAGCCACCTCCGTTGCCACTGCCATAACCGCCTCCATAGCCACCTCCATAGCCGCCGCCTTCACCTCCAGATCCTCCTTCGTATCCACCGACGTGATGGTATACAGGCACGTAGACTGGTACGGCTTTTTTAACTTCAACTGGGTAAGGAACTTCGACAGGCACCTTGACCGGTACTTTGACCGGGTAGTGGACAACTTTTTCAACGGGATAAGGCACTGGCTTTTCGACAGGTACAGGCACAGGTTTTTCTACTGGTACAGGTACGGGCTTGTCAACAGGTACTTTTACGGGATAAGGCACCGGCTTTTCAACGGGGTAAGGAACGGGCTTTTCAACTGGCACGTGAACAGGATAGGGACGGTCTACTGGCACTTTAACCGGGTAATGGACTGTTTTTTCTACAGGGTATGGGACTTTTTTCTCTACGTACACAGGGTATGGTTTGACTACTGGGACGGGGTAGGGTTTGTCAACTGGGACTTTCACTGGGTAAGGTATTTTTTTCTCCACGGTGTAAGGTTGTGGGACTGGGACTTTGACTTCGTACGGAACCTTTTTTTCTACGTAAACGGGATAAGGCTTAGGCACATATACTGGGTAAGGCTTGTCGACTGGCACTTCGACTTTGACGGGATATTTCTTTTCAACGGTGACGGGGTAAGGAACGGGTACCTTTTTAGTTATCGTGACCGCTTTGACGTGGTGATGCTCTTCGTGACTGCCGCCTCCGTGTAGAACGAGGGGTGTAAATCCTCCTTCCAGTTGGACGTGGCCGAAGTTACCTCCTCCGTAACCCCCGTAACCCCCGTATCCTCCATGTCCTCCTTCTAATCCTCCAAAAGAACCGCCAAAATGGTAAAGGCCTCTCTTCTCATTTTTCTTTTCTTCTTGCTTCTCGTTTTCCTTGGCCGAAACCAAGACCAGAGCACAGAACACCACCAGGCACAAGGGCTTCATCTCAACTCTGCCCCTTGCCCCGCTCACTTTCCCTTTTTATACAGGATGTCCCCACTTTCCTTACACACTCGTTCCTACCTCGGCTTGCATAACAGCCAGTATATTGTTCTCAGGACTTCAAAATTCCCCTAATTAAAGTTATAGAAAGCTCATTATTGAAAATCTTATCAACAGACGCTTCCCCGCCAAACAATGCCTCATTGCACTACCAGCTGACTTACAAATTTTGCGAACCTAATCTAGACAATGTACCTCAAAAAAGTGAATTATTCATTAATCGCTGAACCATTCCAAGCAAAACCCATTGAAAAAATCACTCATGAATAAATATAAGCTCGTCGTGTTTACATTGTAAACAGAAAAAAATAGTATTCGATCTTAAACAGTTGGTAAACAAACTATGAGAAAACGTTTGATTTTCTCTAAGAGATGTAAAATAATAACAAAACCTTTAATAACAAAACAAATTTTAAATACGGTGTTTATTAGATGAATATAATATTATGTTACAGTTTAGTCAAGTTATTCAATTGCAAATTGAGTATCAAATAATTACTAGTAAGATAAACTTGGCATAGTTTGTGATGAATACACCCTGTATAAAATTTATATTTTTTCGACAGGCAAACTTGATGGTACAAAACGACATATCAACATAGAGGGTCAATCTTTCACCATGACAACGGCTAAATCCATGTTTCCCAATTAACTGTAAAAATGATTTTTGTTCTTATATTTCGATTAATTTTTGTCCACTTTTCCATACAAATAAGAATTATTTTACAATATTTTAAATATTTTTATAACAGTTCAAGTAGCGAAATTCAAGATAAATATTGTATTTTTTTGCTGTTCCCGGCCTTTTTAAAAATCTCATTTTCACCTCGATCACTACGTGATTTCAATTTTTATAAAGTGCTTTTCTGTATAAGAAAAAATCCGGGGCGTAAATGAATAACGAAAATAGTAGATTTTGTTTTTGTTTGTTTAGTTGAATTATCGAACTTTGGCAAAGCGGGGAGAAAACCACTTTCCGACCTTTTAAAGGAAAAAAACAAGCACTTCTAGCGGGGCAAAGAACCAAAGACAGGCTGAGGTTTATTCGAAAAAATAAATTTCGTATTACACAATTGTTACAATCTGGCAGATGCGCTAGTACTAAACATGTTTTGGCAAGGCTCATTTGTACAAATACGCTTCATTTACTTTCCCCCTCAGTCACCCTATTTTTTCTTTATCTTGCCTTTACGAGTAAGGAAAACGGTGAAATATCTAGTCATATCGAACGTCAAAAACAGAAAGACTTCTTGCAGTTGATATAATTTATGTTGTATTGTATAAATGTGTGGTGATTAGTGACTGTTAGTCGATGATTATCCAGAAATCGTGAGATGCGGTCTCGTGTTATGTAGGTTTCAGAAAAACATTTTCTTTATCGCGCCAACGTTTCGATCTTTATTGAAATCATCTTCAGGGGCTGGGATTTACAAGCATTATTTAAATTTAACAAAAACATGGAGGATGTGGAAAAAACTGAATTTATACAATGCAAAAAATATATTTTTTTAATATTCAATCAAAGTATTTCTACTCACTCACACAACAAACACTGAGTGAGTAGAAATACTTTGTTTGAATATATAAAAAAAAACATTTTTTTGCATTGCATAAATTCACTGTTTTCCACATCCTACATGTTTTTGTTAAATTTAAATAATGCTTGTAAATCCCAGCCCCTGAAGATGATTTCAATAAAGATCGAAACGTTGGCGCGATAAGGAAAATGTTTTTCTGAAACCTACATCTCACGAGACCGCATCTCACGATTTCTGGATAATCATAGTTGTATAATCTATACCACAATATTTATAAACTGACTAATAGACAAATTGGCTAAGCAATTGATTAAATAAATGATTATTTGAAGAGTTTTTATTTATGTATTTTGCTCAATTTGTCTATTGGCCAGTTTATAAATATCTACGGATTGTGGTATAGATTATACAACTATGATTATCCAGAAATCGTGAGATGCGGTCTGGTGTGATGTAGGTTTCAGAAAAACATTTTCTTTATCGTGCCAACGTTTCGATCTTTATTGAGATCATCTTTACAATACATCTTTACTATACTTTGATTGAATATAAAAAATATATTTTGCATTGTATAAATTCACTTTTCCACATCCTAAATGTATTTGTTAAATGTAAACAATGTTTGTAAATCCCAGGCCCTGAAGATGATCTCAATAAAGATCGAAACGTTGGCGCGATAAAGAAAATGTTTATCTGAAACCTACATCATACCAGACCGTATCTCACGATTTCTGGATAATCATAGTTGTATAATCTATACCACAATCCGTAGATATTTATAAACTGACCAATAGACAAATTGGCTAAGCAATTGATTAAATAAATGATTATTCGAAGAGTTTTTATTTATGTATTTTGCTCATTTGTCGACAAATATTGACAATTATACAAGTACAAAGCAAAAAATAAAGAAAAAATAATGATGAGAGTTCAAAGCAATTTTTAAAAATTCTTCTTAAAAATCGGTCATGTAACTATTAAAAATTGTACACTGAAATTAATTCTGTTGGATAATATTTTCGTATGTTGACTATATTTTTAGAAAAACATAACATTTACAACTGAAGTTAACATAGCGCGCTGTATTTATTACGAATAATGTATGTGTGTATTATAGCAAAATTTAAGGTATGATAAGCAAAAATTAAAACCAGTCGGTTTTTGGTAAGTATACAGATTCATTGATTTATGAATAGTACAAAAGAATGTTTTAGCATTTATGACTGCCAAAATTTAACTTCCATAACACAGATTTTAAATGTAATAATGAATATGTATGATGTGTTGATCATATTTATGATGTTATTTTTAATGTTTAGTCAAGAAAAAAGTGGGAAAATAGGCAGAGAATATATAACAAGGAAGGTAAGTAGGAAGCTAGGAAGAATTCCGGTTACCCCTCACATTGTACGTAAACGTACATGTGTCTGGCCAATGGTAATTGCGTCAAAAGTATGATTTATTGGTAAACTTTTTTAAAATTCAAATCCAATTAGTTTTAGGGTTAAAAGATTGTGGTGAGGTCAACACATCGTTTGTTACTGATCCTGTCATAAAAAAAAATCCACCGATATACATCCTGGCAATGAACCTGATCTTGCTCTAGTAACATTGACATTGACTTTGTCTGCAGGCAAATCTGCAGATTATTTATTACTATGTCGTTTTATTTTTGTGTATTATTATATAACATTTTTATTTCATATCTCCGATACAAACAATAATATAAGACACTCCTTAAAGCCCATTTCTTATGAAATTTATTTTGTTATGAAAAATATTAGTCGGTCAGACAAATACATATGGTACAACGTAGAAGACAGTTAATAAATAGCAAAAAAACTTTTTTAAAACCTAAATGAACAGCACGTTACGCGAGGTCCAAATATTCTCGATGTACGGAAATAAAATTCGGAATGAAAATGTCTACATTAGAAATGTGTCTTGCTAAACAGAATAAATTGTAAAAAAAGACAGAAGCTGAGAGAGGTTTGCAAAAGCACGAAATAACGGTGAGCAGTACAGTTTCGTTTTTGGAAAAAAATATCAAACATACACCCAAGATCCAACATCCACCCATTAAGCAGAGCCATAAGATCGTTTATGATACGACATGTAATTTTCTGTATGTATTGGGTTGTCCGGAAAATAATGCAGGATTTTGGTATTAAACAAAAAAAAAGAAACTAGTTACTTTAAAGCAATGTTCTTTAATCAAAATNAATGAGTAATCCTGTAAACGTAAACAGAATATTTTATATAGATTTTTTTTAATGAAAACTTAAAATCCTGCATTATTTTCCGGACAACCCAATAGAAGCACGTAAATGATGTGGAAAGTAAATAAGGAACTAGAAAGAATAGGAGCAAGGAAGTAAAGAAGTGAGGAGTTTAAGTGCAAAAGTAAGTAGGCTACTAAGTAGGAAGGAAGTTAGAACTCTGGTCACGCTTTTTATCGATGTTTTTCTAACTCTTCACACAACGAAAATACAAAGATTCAGTAAAATCAAACTGCCGAAAATGTTTAATTGAAATGACGAAATAAATGTTCAACGAGCGCGAACGCCATGTGAAAAAAATAAGTAGGAAGGAGGAATGAATGGAAATAACTTAGTGAGGAATTCAAATGGGAAAGTAGGCTGATAGATTTTTAACAAGATTTAGGTCATCATTTTATATAAAATCACCATTAGTTTATAAAAACTAATTAAATTTAAACGTACATTAAATTACGTTATAGCCACATTAGGCGGAAGAGGAAATGATCATAATGTGACCAATGTTCAATGTATATTTGTTACAGAAAAGAAATTTCTTGGTAAAACAAATAGAAGGTATGTAGCTAAAAAAATAAAAAAATTGAATTCCAAATAGGTAGATGAAGAATCAGTTAGGAACTGTAGTCGTACCGTTCATTAAATATTAACAAATAAAGTTAAAAAAGTAGGTTGAAAAAATCAACCAAATTAATATTATTAGCTGAACAAGAATAACGAGGAGGTAATTGAGGAAATGAATATGAAAAGTAAAAAAATATGAGTAGAAATGTAGGTAGTCACACATAAAATTAAGTAAAAATAAATTTTATCTGCATATTTCTTTCCTGTTTACACAAATAAAGTAACACTTCATAAAGGGCAATAGCCTAATTGTTCAATTTTGCAAAGTATGACAGGTTGATCGCATGAATGTATTATCTATTATATAATTATAAACATAATAATTAAAATTATATACTGTTTCGTACAAAAAACGGGTAGTACCAAAGACGAAAATATGTTTTAATTGGTGTGAATATGGAAACAGGCAGGTAGTAAAACAGAAGTCTGGTAAAACACTAATCATTCCATTTTATTGCTATATTCCTACATTGTTTGTGTTAATCTAAAATTTTAAAAACAATTTAAATTTACACAACTTAAT